AGTAGTAGTAGTAGTAGTAGTTGTTGTTGTTGTAGTAGAAGTAGTAATAGTAGTAGTAGTAGTAATAGTAGTAGTAGTAGTAATAGTAGTAGTAGTAGTAGTAGTAGTAGTAGTAGTAGTAGTAGTAGTAGTAGTAGTAGTAGTAGTAGTAGTAGTAGTAGTAGTAGTAGTAGTAGTAGTAGTAGTAATTTTTAGGACATCACACAAGCGATAAACACTCGATGACACAGTGCCACCATTTGGATGAGGATCACCCATGGAGAGATCACGGAAACCGCGTTTAGCCATTAGACCATATTTATAGCCGGGCTATATTGCGGCCCCCGGCAAGATATAGGGTGGGGCTTCAAAAAATCGTGCATCACACAATAGTTACACATATGTCCATCAGAGGGCGTAGGAAATTATCTCAGAATTTCTTGATATTTTGTACAATGCCTGCAGATTTAAGGTTCTCAACTACTAAGTTGCCGGTCCCATGTCTGAAAGAGAAAGAAGTTGGGCTAGGGGTAGGGCCAGCTCCTCTATCCTGTAAATAATTCTTTACCACGGAAATTTGCAGGACAGGAACACATTAGTCACATAATGTATGATGCAGGACAGGAACACATTAGTCACATAATGTATGATGCAGGACAGGAACACATTAGTCACATAATGTATGATGCAGGACAGGAACACATTAGTCACATAATGTATGATGCAGGACAGGAACACATTAGACACATGGTGTATGATGCAGAACAGGAACACATAAGTCACATGGTGTATGATGCAGGACAGGAACACATTAGTCACATGGTGTATGATGCAGGACAGGAACACATTAGTCACATGGTGTATGATGCAAAACAGGAACACATTAGTCACATGGTGTATGATGCAAAACAGGAACAGATGAGTCACATGGTGTATGATGCAGGACAAAAACACATTAGTCACATGGTGTATGATGCAGGACAGGAACACATTAGTCACATGGTATGTGATGCAGGACAGGAAAAAATGAGTCACGTGGTGTATGTTGCAGGACAGGAACAAATGAGTCACATGGTATATGATGCAGGACAGGAACAAATGACAGGAACACATTAGTCACATGGTATGTGATGCAGGACAGGAAAAAATGAGTCACGTGGTGTATGTTGCAGGACAGGAACAAATGAGTCACATGGTATATGATGCAGGACAGGAACAAATGGGTCACATGGTGTATGATGAAGGACAGGAACAAATGAGTCACATGGTATGTGATGCAGGACAGGAACATATGAGTCACATGGTGTATGATGAAGGACATGAACAAATAAGACACATGGTATGTGATGCAGGACAGGAACACATTAGTCACATGGTGTATGATGCAGGACAGGAACAGATGAGGCACATGGTGTATGATGCAGTACAGGAACACATTAGTCACATGGTGTATGATGCAGGACAGGAACACATTAGTCACATGGTATGTGATGCAGGACAGGAACAAATGAGTCACATGGTGTATGGTGCAGGACAGAAACAAATGAGTCACATGGTGTATGATGCAGGACAGGAACACATGAGTCACATGGTGTATGATGCAGGACGGGAACAAATAAGTCACATGGTGTATGATGCAGGACAGGAACAAATGAGTCACATGGTGTATGGTGCAGGACAGGAACAAATGAGTCACATGGTGTATGATGCAGGACAGGAACACATTAGTCACATGGTATGTGATGCAGGACAGGAACAAATGATTCACATGGTATGTGATGCAGTACAGGAACAGATGAGTCACATGGTATGTGATGCAGGACAGGAACAGATTAGTCACATGGTATATGATGCAGGGCAGGAACAGATGAGGCACATGGTGTATGATGCAGTACAAGAACAAATGAGTCACATGGTATGTGATGCAGGACAGGAACAGATTAGTCACTTGGTATATGATGCAGGACAAGAACAAATGAGTTACATGGTGTCTGATGCACAGAGTGCATGTATGATTGTTACGAATAAAAAGCCAGTGTCCATACATGCACACTACTTTATCCAAAACTACACACTAGAAATAAGAGACATGTATAAACAATCACAGGTATCAACAGTTGTAAGACAGAGAAGATAGATCAAAATTTAACACATTCTGAGATGAGACAAAAAGAGAAACTCTATCCAACCGTCCATCCATCCATCAGTTCATCCCTCCATCGATTCATCCATCAATCCATCTATAAAAACAAAACAAACAAATACACAACGTTCAACCTACTGCAAGCAGTATCGGTTATAACTGTGGTTTGGTTTCTTTGTGCCAATTATGTTGACTAAGAAGCATTAATTGTACCAGCACGAGTGACTTGGACCGGGACTTTAGTAGCTGGTGATGGTTGTTGGAGAGGGATCTGGTACACACATATAGACATATGTGTACAATTATATATATGTATACACACACACACACACACACACACACACACATATATATATATAAATATACATATATATTTATAAACGTACACACGTATGTGTGTGTGTGCACGCACACGTGGAAATGCATGTATACGTATGTGCATACACATACATGTATATGTAGATACACACATACACTCAAAGGAGTCATCATGATCAAGCGGCCTTCCAAAGGGCGGTTGGTATGTTGGGTTGTGGTTTATAGCTAGGCAACGAATCTGTGCTTTTGAGTCCAACAATTTCTATTTCAGCCCTTTACGGTCTGCTTATTAGAAGCAGTAGGTCTGTAGTTTGTTACCCCCCCCCCCCCCCCCCCCCCCCCCGCTCCCCCCCTTTTCTGACCCCCTGCCCCACCCCACTATCACCAATGATGCATCGAAAGAAACATGGAAATAATATCTTCAGAATATAGCATTATTGCACGGCCTTCTCTATTTATAAATAGCTCAAAATGGGCGTGGATTATTGCATGAAACGAAAGAAGTCACTACTCGCTCCAAATTTTATACGAACCAAGTTCCGTAACCACTAGCTGACTGTTGCCAACATCCGGTCTAGAACCTTTTATTCAAGACATTTTTTTATATAAAGGACGTTATTTGGTGAGTTGGAACTTTCTTTAAATAGACATTTATTAAATAAACATAAACCTTGTATGGGTTCCGAGGCCACATTTTAGGGGGAAAAGAGTAGACCCACTGCCTCCCTAACAATCATGTCATAGATAGAAGGTGACTAATTTGACTGGGGTTTCCTTCCAAGTCGGGAGGAGCATCTCAGCCATCTGTCTCACTGTATGTGCCAGCCAGGCAGACAAGACAAGGAATCTTAACCAGCAGTCTGCGAATAAGCCAGAAATCATCTGTAAAACGGATATGCACGTAAAATCCAAATTCTGAAACAAGAACAAAGTCCAGAAGAGGAAAAACAACCAGAACTTTCCATCGGATTTTATAGCCGCTGTGAACGGAACGCAAAAAGAAGAAATAAAAATGAAATAATAATATAGTATAGTATTTATTTTATTTCTCCAATATACCTATAGTATAGGCTATACCTAGTCTGAGTCTGACTCATCTACAGGTACAGGTGGGGAAATAATGAGAGAGGACAGGTAGAACATTTCATTTTGTTATTTTTGAAGAGGAAGAATTAATTTGAGTAACGTTTTATATAACCATCTGTATACTTTTATTAGTTTCAGTGAATCAGTGACTCATCACTGTCAGTGATGACTTCTGTTTTTCACTTTTTTGAATGCATTTCCATTATTCCTCATGTTTGTGGCACTTGCTTTAGTGTCCCTAGGTTTAACAAATCAGAATGAGTCTTACACACAACAGCAGACAGTTTAGTATATAATTATTGATCGACAATAAGCTTAACAGCATTCCATTGCATGCACATCAGTGTATGTGTACACATATGTCAGGTGGTGATACTGACACCACACATAGCTTGTAATAAGGAATGACCATACATAATAACCTATACCTATTTGTAAATGCTCTAATAAGACTTAAAACATCACTTCTTTTTTATCCGGCTTTTTCAAATATCAGGAAGCTGTCTTTTCTTACTACAATTCAAGTTTTCATGTAGGTCTCTGTTCAATTGTTTTGCCTTGTGGGTTCTTGCTCTAATAAAATAATATTCTAGTTATACCATTAGATTCTCTGACTGTTGAATTAAGAATCGACATCACAACACTCAGGACACTCCCGTAAGTTCAGTCCCCATCTTCAGCAGCAAGCAAAGAGTTCCAATTTCTATGGTATCAGTTTTGATTGTATATCTGCCTCACCCTTCCACTGTGTGTTGAGCATCTGTGACTGTGTAACCCTGTCCAGTGCCTCCACATTTTCTTTGAGTCTTGTTTCACTTAAATTTGTCTTGTTCACTGCCAAAACTCTGTGTCAGATCTATTTGTCTTGTTCACTGCCAAAACTCTGTGTCAGATCTATTTGTCTTGTTCACTGCCAAAGCTCAGTGTCATACCATTTGTCTTGTTCACTGCCAAAACTCAGTGTCAGATCTATTTGTCTTGTTCACTGCCAAAGCTCAGTGTCATACCATTTGTCTTGTTCACTGCCAAAGCTCTGTGTCATACCATTTGTCCTGTTCATTGCCAAAGCTCTGTGTCATACCATTTGTCTTGTTCACTGCCAAAGCTCTGTGTCAGATCCATTTGTCTTGTTCACTGCCAAAGCTCTGTGTCATACCATTTGTCTTGTTCACTGCTAAAGCTCTGTGTCAGATCCATTTGTCCTGTTCATTGACAAAGCTCTGTGTCAGATCCATTTGTCCTGTTCATTGACAAAGCTCTGTGTCAGATCCATTTGTCCTGTTCATTGACAAAGCTCTGTGTCAGATCCATTTGTCTTGTTCACTGCCAAAGCTCTGTGTCATACCATTTGAAGCATTTTTACATATAGATTCTGTTGTTGTTTTGCAGATGTGTGTCAGGATATCATTTATAAAACCGATTTGTTTATGGTAGCACTGTCATACATTTTGCATATGTCTCCCAGGCTACAGAGATGACAACTGAGAAAACATCCAACCCTCTGGAGCCGTTCCTGCTGCTGCTGAAGGATGCTAAGGGGGCTGGGGCCGCAAGTATCCTCAGCCAGGCCATGGGGGCCCCCAATGTTTATGTGTTTGGAGAGTTCTTGGATTTGCCCAATGTGCAGGAGGTGACGTACCCTACCTGTCTTATATTAATATATGGCTCTAGACAGGATGGGGGAGATGATTGATGGTAGACAGACAGGATGGGGGAGGTGACTGATGGTAGACAGACAGGATGGGGGGAGGTGATTGATGGTAGACAGACAGGATGGGGGGAGGTGGTTGATGGTAGACAGACAGGATGGGGGGAGGTGATTGATGGTAGACAGACAGGATGGGGGAGGTGATTGATGGTAGACAGACAGGATGGGGGAGGTGATTGATGGTAGACAGACAGGATGGGGGGAGGTGATTGATGGTAGACAGACAGGATGGGGGGAGGTGATTGATGGTAGACAGACAGGATGGGGGGAGGTGATTGATGGTCGACAGACAGGATGGGGGGAGGTGATTGATGGTCGACAGACAGGATGGGGGGAGGTGATTGATGGTAGACAGACAGGATGGGGGGAGGTGATTGATGGTAGACAGACAGGATGGGGGGAGGTGATTGATGGTCGACAGACAGGATGGGGGGGGGGAAGAGGTGATTGATGGTAGACAGACAGGATGGGGGAGGTGATTGATGGTAGACTCCCGAAGGACATCCTGTAGAATAATTACAGATGGGTGGATGCTGAGGTCAGTCTATGTTACGATATAAAGATGTGAGTCAGCAGGACAAGAATAATATTGGTGCTGAGTAAATTTGTGGGAACGTTGTGTTGCATAAATGAAAAAATGAGGTAGAGAATAATGATAAGGGGTGAAATGACAGCAGATAGGTTATGTACTGTGTGTCTAAGAAGCACATTACGTACATCTAGTGGCGGCAACAGTGGTCCTGAAACTGCGTAATCTAATTTCTAGCGGGCCCTGTTAGTCACACTTGCCATCGTCATGGGCTATGATTCCCGTGCTTTATAAAGCACTGTTGCCTAGAAAGACCGAAAGATGTGGAAAAAAAAATCTGTGGAGGTCAAAAGTAATAAATATTATTATTAAACTGAAAATTTTTAACTCTTATGCCAAATCAGTACTGTTGTGTGGAGCAGAAACATAGAGAACAACTAAGGAAGTTACTAATAAACTACAAGCATTAATTAAATGGTGCTTGCGCAGAAATGATGGAATTAAATGGTATGATAGAATCACTAATGTAGAGCTTTGGGCGAGGACTAAACAAGTTCCAGTAGACCAAGAAGTGAAGAAAAGATGCCGGCTTTGGATAGGGCACACGCTAAAAAACCTGAGAACAATACAATATAACTAGAATGTCTTTGCACTGGAACCCACAGGGGTGTAGAAATAAAGCAAGACCCACGCAAAAAATGGATGGAGCCAGGAGCAAGAGAGTGAAGTTAAAAAGATAGGGACGACATGGGGAGAGCTGCTGTGATAGCGAAAGGATAGAACGACATGGCTTGAGTTGATTGAGGGCCTATGCTCTATTGGGGGTTAGAAAGGAGGAAGAAGAAGAAGATTGCCTGGAAAGACTGAAAGGTGCGACCAACCCGAAAGAAGTGGGGAAGCAGTGAAAGCGTGTGACTTACCTGGTGGTCAGTGGTTGAATCCGCGAGGAACATTTTTTTAAAACTGATCTGTGCTACCTGTTTGACCAAGCCTAAATCAAGTACCAGGATCAGATAAAAGATATAAAACCGAACGAAAAGTATATCCGTAAGCTTCACAATATAACAAACAAAACGTAAATGTTGTGGCTATACAGCCTTCTTCAGCACATAATAGATTAGACAGTCCTACACAAATACACAATGTCACACTTATCTTCTTATCTCGTTGCAGCCAGGTTGATGTCAAGCCAATAATCTGGCGAGACACATGGGCCAGGAAAATAATTGTCCCGGGATATGTCAGGGGCCATCACTCTAGGATAAGATGAAACTGTATAGAAAGTTCAGCCCCCTAGGATTTAGATAAAGCTGTGTTAGCAGTTTATTTCACAGGGCGTCTGAGTTCCTAAAGAGTTTATAAAGCAATTTTCAAGAGACTTGCAAACTCTGTTGCTGAAATGGCTAGATACCAGGATCGTCTACCAGTGTTTTGTTGACCACATCACTGACCTCGTGCTGACTGGTCTATGAAAAATATGGGGACTGCACCAGATGTAAGATTTTTTTCTGTGTATGAAATTGGTCAATAACCGACCTACTTGTAAATAATAACTGTTCACTTAGAGACAGGTAAACAATAACAGCACATCTGGTAGCACGGTGCCAAAGAAATGTTTACCTGCTGCCTGAAATTTCAAATTGATCTTAGTTGGGTTCATGATCTTAGTTCCTCTTGCTGATTAAAAAATTTATTTAAGGAGACACAGGGACAAACTGATCGGTTATTTTATGTTTGTACTTTGCGTATGTTTGTATGTTGCTGATAATTTATTGACTTTTTTTCTCTGCCATTTGTTTCATTCTTCTTAGGCCACAGAATTTCTTGATAAGTATTAAGTTTGTTACTAACACAGATAATTTTTTTCCCAGCTTGCCACAGGAGCATATGCATCTGTATATCAACTGCTTCACGTTTTTGCATATGGAACATATAAAGACTACAAAGGTATGTTATATGTAAAGATTGTATTGGTATGTTTTAGTAAATGCTGTAAACATTTACACTGTGTAAATACTGTATAAACAATATAAAGATTTGAACCATGCAAAGATAGAAACATATGTACTGAAGCTGTGAGCTCTGTTCTGTTGCAATATGACGAACATAAAATTTCATTATTATGTGTCATGAAGTTCCATTTATTGTCAAAGATTCTTCTGAATGTGAACTAGTCTTGCTAGTTACACTCGCTATCACCAAGGGCTGTGGTTTCCATGCCTCCTTATAGCTTAGTGTTGCACTTCTTCTTCTTCTGTTCTCTATTCCTGGCTTGCCTTGCAGCATTAGGGCAGGAAGAGATCTCTGGAACAGGACCATATGTTCACTTCATATAAAATACTTTTCAATATCTCTAATATTTCTGCAGTCCATGTTCTGCGTGGTTGACCTCTGGCTTTGTTGCCGTTGTATCTGTGTAGCATAGCTCTCTGTGATGCACTGTCTGATGTAACACTATTGTCTAATAAGATGGGGAGGTGCCAGCAACAACTGAAGAACGGGGGAGTATTATAATCCTCTTTATTCTAGGCAGTCTGATATACTATATAATGATATGATCATAAATTTTATTATTATTTAGAGGAAGGAGAAATTGTCGGGACATATGTCATGTGTTAATATTCGTTTTCCCAGCTAGCACAGCCCAGTTACCTGACCTCACTCCTCAGCAGTTGACAAAATTACGACATTTAACTGTGGTTTCTCTGGCCACCCGTAGCAAGGTAAGCCAGCATTTAATCTATGGCTGTGTTGGTCACAAGTGTCTCAGTGTGTCCTTCATCAGTTCTTTCAGACGTTTATGCCTCAACAGATATATTTGTTTGTATCGGAGACATCCTTCTCATCATCTATCTGTTTATTTGATTAAGCCACTGCTTCCCTAACAAGCATAGGAATCAACAGTCTGCATACAAATAAGCCAGAGCTATGAATTCAAGTTCTGGAACAAGACTAGAGTCCAGAAATGAACAAAAAACCTGAACCTTCCGCCAAAGTTTACAGCTGGTGAACACGAAGAAGCCCAAAGGGGAATAACTACAGTTTTGCATAGCATTCATTGTGATGCATGGATTTTCTTTTCTAGATCGATGCCACTTAGACCAACATCTTCTGACTTTAAAGGTTTCTTCCCTGGACTCCATCCTCCAGTTGTTAGATTGCCTGTCTTGGCTACTGAACTCTGCCTGCCCACATTTTCTTTCGGACTTTGTTGCTCTTCCACAAGGCAATGATAGTTTGGCATTGGATGTATTCTTCACGTAGATGAATTACCTTCCAGGGTTTGTTAGATTCATCAGGCCGTGTCTAGTTTCATCCACTTAGTTCAGCCAGTCAGCCAAGACTATCGCCCTGGATGTTGGACTTGTAGCTGTAAGTGAACTAAGTAAGTGATGAAATCCAAGGAAATCACACCATCCTGTAGGATGTGACTTTCTCCCTTCTCGAAGTACTATCCGTATTTTTTTACCAGTCACCCTGAATCTCAGTAATATAGTGACTAGCATTCAGAAATAAATCCTTGATTTCTTAGAAACAGTAAGATAAAGATATTAGAATGTATTGATTTTCACTTATAGAAAAAAGTAAAAAGATATTAGGACAAGCAAGGCAAATAGTAATCTAAAGCTATAGTTACCATTATAGGACTTGAATCTGTCACCTTGTCATGTTGATAGCACCTTCCTGTGGAAACAATTATACTTTTGACTCAAGATCAACTGAACACCTTTATATCGGTACGTGTTAATCTTTTTATAAGACTGGGCTAGCGTTCTTTCGGTTTTGATGCTGCAGATATTTTTTACCATTATCATGAAAAAGCGCCTTGCTGACTGGCATGGGCGATCACGAACAATCTGCGAGCTTTAACAGCTTGAATCAGTTCGTGTGTTGACACCCCTCCTTGCCATGACAAATGGCTATCAAGAATCTTCTTACTTTGTCTTCTTCTATCTCTTTTTTCACAGATCTTTCCAGTGGTCACAGCATGTTCCAATTTTCCTCTTCTCATAATATAACCAAAAAATTATGACTGCCTCTTTCTTATGTTTGTGATAAGTTGTCTTTGAGCCTTTTTGAAGACATCTTTAACTGTCCAAGGATTTCTTCTATAAAACCATACTTCTGCTGCCTCGAGAAATTGGCTTGTTTATCAATATTTAATAATATTAATTCAACATTCAACACACACACACACAAATTAATAACTTGTAGCTTCATAAAAACAATGTAGTATCTGCTTGGAATATGTTGCTGTTAGTGGATAATGATTGATCGTGAGTTAAGACGTAATACAACTTAACTTATTGGTTTGCTTATGACAAATAATCTTATTATGGTAAACTTCTTATAGTCAGTGCCTTGTGCTGTTAGTAATTTCTGTCACAACTTACGTCTCATGGACTTTCACTTAATTATTACAAAAGATGATCTTCCTTACTGTGATGTCAAACTGTCCAGCATCTTTTCTCCCGGTCTCCTCCTGCCTCTTTTCCCTCTCTCTTCTCTCACAATGTACTCTAGTTTTCTTCTTCCAGTGACATGATTAAAGAATGTAGGTTTCTCCATCTGATGTGGGTAATAAGGTCTCTTCATCCTATTGTGATAACCTGTGTATAACAATTAATCCTGTTGTGACAGCTGGTATATAATATAATTAATTCTATTGTTATCACTTGTATATAATGAAATCCTATTGTGATACCCATTGTGTGGGTTAATTAAAAGTGTTGTGATTGCCTGTATATAACATGAAAGTAAAGGACCCATTTTTTTTACAGCAGTGGTACATCAAACATATGATCCTAGGCTCATTTGTTTTAAAAACCAGTTGTCCCTCTATGAGTGATATGGTCAGCATTGTGCTGGTCACCTTTACTTCCCACAACTATACCTGGTCTGCATTTTAGGGGTCAGCCTGGGGGCCAATTTTGAAAACAATTTAGTGTGGATTTGAACCCTAGACCTTTGGAAGAGTATGCTATGCCACCACTGCTTTCAATTTAACATAGTTAATGTTACTGTGATTGGCTGTTTATATTTGCCCTTTAGTGCATTCCCTATTCCGTACTGTTGGAGGAGCTTGCGATGGAGAATGTCCGAAATTTAGAGGTCAGTTGTTATGTGACAGTCTTTTTTTCCTTGCATCCCTATCGATTGCTTGTTTGAACCCATTCTGTTTGTTGAATTTGATAAGTCAGTATTTCACATTAATATTTTTGTATATTTAACGGGAGACAGTCTACATTCATTGGTCATGTCATGAGGAAAAAATGGGAGTACATCTTGACAGTAGGAAAATTGGAGGGGAAAAGAGGCAGAGAGAGACCAAGAGAGAAAATGCAGGACAGTGTGGCATCAGGGCATGGAAGATTATGTGTGTCAGAACTGTCTGAAAGTACACGAGACAGAAGGTTGTGGATAGACATGACTACCATTGCCAGGTGGCATTATCTCTAAGAAGAAGAAGAAGATAGTTCATGATGATGAAGATTAAATAGGATGAATTCAAGAAGGCGAAGAAATAAGAGAAATGTCTGAATAAAAGCTGGTGTCAGCAGTTGTAAGACAAACTTCTTCTTCTTCTTCTTCGTTCACCGGCTGGGAATTCCGGCAGAAGGTCCCGGTAGTTTGTCCATTTGGGCTTTTGGATTTTACCTGGGCCTGAGTTTTGTGTGTTCATCCCTTTTACTGGCTTATTTGTTTGCCGTTCCCTGCCTCACTGGCAGATGAACTCCAGCTTCGAGGGAAAGTGGGACAAACAAGATGGCAGAATATTGGGAACAATTACAGGAGTGTGGAGATGATAAGGAGTCTACCAATCTCCTAGTTAGCAGTCCCGTCTTATAGCCAGGAAACATCCAATTCCTCTCCATCATTCATCTGAGAAGATAATTGCCCTGTGCATGTTTATTGCTTGTCTGCAATATTTGCTCTTTTTGCTGACTCATCCAACTTCTTCAGGCATTTGTTGGCTAGGTTAACCTTTCAGACAAGCGTCCACTTGGGAGCCATGTTAGCACAGTTGATAGGAGACTTGCTTTCAAATCCAGCTGTGAATCACTGCTGTCCATGACCGGTATTTGAAACCGGGCGGTTTCCATGGTTCACCCAGCCTCTAGGTAATGGTTACCAAAGTTAACACCCTGGGGTAAATGGAGAAACGTCGCTGTAGCTACGGAGTTGCGTGGGGACGATGTCACAAGCAGACAGTTTCTTATCAGCTGTCCGTACTGGTGGCAGAGCACTTATGGTTTATAATCATGTGCATTTATGCTGGTTCACATCTCCTGACTTTACCTTTACAAGCGTCCACTTTAAAATTCACTATGTCCACAGCATACCTAGATAACGTAGCAAACATTACATCAGTTATTTATCCATTTATATTTTAATTTTATAAGTCAATTAATATGTCATGTCCCATGGATACATTATTCTCCTTCACAACAGATTCAAGCTTTCTCAGTGGCAGTGCAGCCACACTGGTCCTTGTGTAAGCACATTAGGCATGTCTAATAAAAGATGTTATCATCTCATAGTTCCCAGCAGCACTCTGACTTGTTTGCATACATTTTCGCTTGAGACCATTAACATTTCTACCAAGATCTTTCTTGTCCTTTCGTAAATATTGTCCAGGTCATTGATAATCTCATTGTCTGTTATGCTGATGGCTACTTGCTGTTGACAGGACCTGATCATCGAGGTCATCTATGCTGACATCATCCATGGGAAGCTTGATCAGATACACCAGCAGCTGGAGGTCGACTGTGCTCTGGGTCGAGACATCCACGATAAGTCACTGGATGAAGTCGTTACGGTGTTAGAGCAATGGTAGGTTGTTTCTCTGGGTGGTTGTGAATCCTTTGGAAGACTGAGTTTTAACTCTGAAGACTAAGTCCACTAATAAAAATAATTAACATTCCCTGTAGGTAGAATAGAAGGAATAACAATGGTAGGCCTGAAGCATTTTAAAGTTGTGCTGACGTTTGGTATCTCTGACAAAGTATATTAGGATACAACTAAATGATGGTACAGAACAGCACATACTTCTTCATCTTCTTCTTAGGCTTTCAGGGTTAGGTTTTAAAGAAGCATTGCTTGCGAGATATGTTGTTTACGTTCGCAGGCTGTAAACGCTGGTTAAAATACCTGGTTGTTCGTCCATTTCTGGGCTTTGGCTTTGCTCTGAGACCTGAATTTTGTATGTGCATCTGTTTTATCTTTCTTATTTGTGTGCGGACTGTTGGTTTCTTGTCTTTCAGGCAGATGTTCTCCGACTTTGAAAGAAGCTCCCAGTTAGACGACTTACAACATGCTTGTTGGGAAGGCAGTGGGTCTATGCAGAATGTGATATGTTGATGCCAGTATTTACAGCCTTGGATGTTCCACCTATCCATTATTGTGTAGCCGACCTCTAACTTTGCTTCCAGTGTGTCCAAGTGAAACCGTTTGGGGTTTAAATTTCATGAGATAGAGAGAGAATGACATGAAAGGGAGGAGAGAGGGAGATAGATAGATAAAAAAATCTTTAAAACGGTTCAAGAGTGGATGAGAAGTTGAAAGGTTCTCGTATGCGAGGAGTGTAGTATGAGTCAGTGGAGGTTTAAAAGGGTTTTGTGATATCAGTACAGTGGAGTGGTATAACAATCACAACAACCAAACAATGGTACAACACATACACTCAACAGACAAACGATGGGATAGAAGAATAATAGCTAACTGTCATGTTTATTCAGTGTGAAAGAATTATAGCCATCGAGGTAACTTGACGTACAACAACGTATCACACCTCAACACCTGGATAATCAAACTTTGTCAAACTACATACGGGTTTACAACTGAACTGAGCATGCACTGACACCAAAGATACTACAAAGACAAAGAGATTGCAATGCCCTACCATTCATTATAACTGATAGGCGAAACTAGTGTTCTTAAACTACTAAGATTGATCATTCTATGACCCATAGCATAATCTGTTATACTCAGCCACAAACTACCAACACCCTCGCTACAAAATACTAAACCCAGTAAATCGTGACCTGCCATGTCAAAAGACATTCTTCTTCTTTGTTCACCAGCTGTAAGCTCGGGTGGAAGGTCCTTGTTGTTCATCTGTCTGGACTTTGGCTTTGTGCCAGGGCCTGAGTTTTGTGTGTACATTCATTTTATTGGCTTATTTATATGTAGTTAGTTGTTCCTTGCCACTCGGGCAGATACTCTCTGACTTTGAAGGAAGCCCCCAGTTAGTCGACTCTAACAATGTGTTTTTTTGGGGAGGCAGTGGGGTCTGTTCTTGTTTTCCCCACAATGCAGTCCCGGAACCCACACAGGAAACAGGTAATTCAGGATGGTTTTCTGACATTCTCAGTTCCATCAAAGAATTGTGGAACTCAGTTCCATAGCATCATAAGTTTATTCACCCACAAGATGTCCTGCTTCTAGTCTCAGAGCACATGCATCCCTACACATCTGCCCGCAATTTTATACTGAAACACCAACAGTGCATGCCTCAGAACCTGCCTCCGTCTACATGTTTCTGGTATCTTGAAGAAAGTATGCTAAGACATTTACCGCCTGACTGTATATCCCTTCCATCTAATTCTGTTCTGTTTTTCTCCTTTGATTTTTCCCAGGTGTACAGGCTGTGAAGGTGTCCTGCGAAGTATTGAGGAGCAGATAAGCAGAGCCAACCTGTGCAAGGAGCAGCAGAATCAGCGAAAGGCAGCATTGGAGCAGGAGGTTAGTCTGTCATCTACCCTCGGTTTTACTTTCTAAAACGAATTTTTTTGTTTTGTTGGTTGGTGTTGAATGACAGGTTGACTGGCTAGGTCATTTGTTGTTAGATTAATCAGCTGATTGGTTGCTTGGTTGGTCAGCTGATAGGTTGGTTGCAGGCTGGTTTGTCAGTTGACTGTCTAGTTGGTTGCTTGATGACCATGAAGAGACTGGAAGAGGCCCACAAGAAGGAGGATGTATTTTAAGAGAGATTAGGAGGCGATAATGGAGTCATGACTGAGAAAGAATATACAGATTTTCTCATAGACCTCTTAACTGGGGTAAAATCAAACTGGCATAAAACTTATTAACAACAGTCTTGAATGATAGTTTTTTTGGTATGTATGTCTTTAGCTTTGGTGAGATCGTTGTCTTCTTCGTTTTCACTAGTTGTAAACTCTGGTGGAAAACTCTGGTTGTTCATCAACTTCTAGACTTTGGTCTCATTTGAGAACTTGATTTTTGCATGCACATTAAAAAAAAATATATATCTATGGTTTATTTACATACAAACTGCTGGCTCTTTGCCTCCCCGCTATGAGGGCTTCAGAACCGACACTAGAAACATTGTCTTCAGAATGGATATAGTATTTCTTTTTATATTATTTTGTTGATGTTACCGGTGGTATGTATTCACTTTAATGTGTCTTCTTCACATTCACTGGCTGTAAACACTGGCAGAAAGTTCTGGTTGTTTGTCCACCTCTGGACTTTAGTCTTGTTCCGGAACCTGGGTGTTCTGTGTACATCCGTTTTGCAGATCTGACTTATTTCTGTGCAGACTGTTGGTTCCTTGCCTGTCATGCAGGATGCAGTCTGACTTTGAAGAAAGCCCCCAGTTAGTATGACATGCTTTGTTTTGTGGGAGGCATCGAGCCTATTCTTGTTTTCCCCACATTGCGGCTCTATAACCGACATGGGAACTTCACTTTAGTTGATATTATAGTTAGTATGTCTTTGGTAAGAATGTATTTTGTTTTTTAATACTGTCAGTAATATGGTTCAGTACTGATCAGTGTAGGCGTCTGTGGCTTAGGCCTTGCAACCGTGCTTCATAGTACCGGGGTGCCCCAGCTGCGGAGGATTTGTCTTGCATTGGTTTCAACAGTGGTGCCGAGAGCTGACCATTCGGTAGGTACTGAATGTAAAATCTAACTAGAAAAAAAATGACAACAGCCAAGAAATGCCGGGGGGTTCTGCAGTGTCCTGTAAAGGATTTGCAACTAACATTTAACGCATGATTATTTCACCAATACTGTAGGTAATATGTTTCAGTATTGATGTGTTATTTCACCAATACTGTAGGTAATTTGTTTCAGTATTGATGTGTTATTTCACCAATACTGTAGGTAATATGTTTCAGTATTGATGTGTTATTTCCCCAATACTGTAGGTAATGTGCTTCAATACTGATGTATTATTTTACCAATACTGTAGGTAATAAACATCAAGAAAACAATAAAGACCACACAACAACAGGACCTGGACGAGGCCATGGTGACAGACAGCCGTGGCGACCTGGCGCTGGTCACAGACAAAGGATCCAAGAAAACTACCAAATCTAAAGGGTGAGTACTTTGGTTATTTAAGGGAGCCACCAGTTCTAAAGAATCAGTATTTAAGGGATCCAAGAAAGCCACTAAATTTAAAGGGTGAGTGCTTCAGTTGTCTAAGAAAACCACCAGATCTAAAGGATAAGTGCTTTTGTTGTCTAAGAAAACCACCAAATCTAAAAGGTGAGTACTTTAAGGGTCTAAGAAAGCCACCAGATCTAAAGGGTGAGTACTTTTGTTGTCTAAGAAAACCACCAAATCTAAAAGATGAGTGCTTCAAGGATCTAAGAAAGTCGCCAGATCTAAAGGGTAAGTATTTCAGGGTTGCAAAAAAACCACCAAATCTAAAAGGTGAATACTTCAAGGATCAAAGAAAGCCACCAGATCTAAAGGGTGAGTACTTCAGGGATACAAGAAAACCACCAAATCTAAAAGGTGTAGAAGATTGTAGAACATGAAAGTAGATTGAAAGTGGATTGAAGGAGTCACTGATACCTTGAAACTGCCCAACATCACAGCATAATGGGCAGCTGAACATGCCCTGATTTAGACACCAAACATCTGTTCAACTGTGACACCTAGCGGCACAAAGCAGAATATGGAACAAAAGAAAGAGGTACAGTTGGAATGGGTTTAGTCCCTTGTTGATGTTGATTCACACCCTCATCCTCTGGTTGATGTCACCTCAGGCGCCAGTTGACATGAGTTTGGACTTCATTTGGTTTAAATTCAGCTGGTGGTAGGATATTGTCGCCACCAGTCAAGGTTTAACCCACAAAGTTGTAATCTAATTTGTGTGACAACCTACCACATCATCCCCCCCCCCCCCCCCCCCCCCCAATCTTCCTTGCAGCAGTATCTTCTTCTTAAAGTCTGTGCTGTGTGGCATTGGTAGTCATACTTATCCACAACCTTCCGTCTACTTTCAATCAACTCTGACATGATCTTCCATGCCATGATGTCAAACTGTCCAGCATCTTTTTTCTCGGTCTGCCACTGCCTCTCCTCCCGTTCAGCTTTCCTAATGTCATGATGTGCCCCAGTTTTCTCCTTCTTACATCACCAAAGAACGTAGATTGTCTCCTTCTGATGTGGGCAATCAGTTCTCTTCGTGAGCCAGTTTCTTTCAAGACGTCTTCATTACTCTTTTTATCTGTCCAGGGTATTCTTATCATTCATCTATAAAACCACATCTGTGCTGCTTCCAAATAATATTTTACTAAATTAGCAATTGTCCATAATTCTCTTCCCTATATCAGGATATGATTTGTATAGCTTTTAAGAATTCACTTTCTCATCTCAATTGACAAAGGAAGATTGCATCAAATATTCTACATTTGACTTCTTTAATACATCTTCCATCTAATATTATTAGGGTACCCAAGTACTTAAACATATCAGTTTGCTTGAGGTTTGTCCCGTTTACTTTGATGTTGCATTTCAGAAGGTCAGTTTTCTTTGTAATTGCCATTATTTCTGTTTTTCTGCTGTTCAAGCTAGCAGTATCTACCCCAGCCTATATGCAAAGATCAAACCCTATTACAAAAACAGAATATCATGAGTAGATATCAACCGAGATGAAAAGTAGAGCTAATCATTTTCACATTCTTACAAATGACAAGTGGACTTTGCAACTAGACAGCCTTTATCGGCACAATTCAAGAATAGACAATGCTATAATTAATGAACAGGTACACACCTAATCACTTATCTGAGTTAACACCAAGAGACTTCCAGTGTCTGTCTGGCCTGTTAAAGCTCTGATGCACATGTGAACACAGAAAATTATTACTAGCCAGAGGGGAACAAAATACTGACAGCAAGGGCTGTAGCTAAAAAGTGTTAGACAAAGCTATGTTGGATATTAAATGCCTTTGACAATTTGAGCCTATTAGATAGATAAGGTAGTTATCAGAACTATACTGATTGATAGTCCAGGTTGTTCGTGGAAAGAAGAAAACTGGAATATATTGTGAGGAAGGGAACATTGGATGGGAGACAGAGAAAGAAGAAAACTGGAATATATTGTGAGGAAGGGAACATTGGATGGGAGACAGAGAAAGAAGATACTGGACAGTTTGACATCATGGCATGAAATATCATCTGTGTTAGAATGAGTTCTTCTCTATGTTTACCAGCGGTAAACTCTAATGGAAAGTTCTGTGTTTTGGGTGCATATCTGTTTTATTATTAGACCCTTGCAACAGGCTTGTTGTGGAAGCAGTGGGTTTGTTTTTGTTTTTCCCCACAGTGAAGCTGCGAAACCTACAGAATGGATTGAAAGGACATGAGACAGAAAGTTGTGAATAGAGATGCACACCAAAACCACATGGCAGATCATATGTATCAGAACTGAATGAAAGTACACGAGGCTGTAAATAGACATGACTTCCAGTGCCACACGTCATCTACTGGGGAAGATAATCTGTATGAGAATCGATTGAAAATGCACCAGAGAGCTATGAATAGACATGACTTCCAACGCCACAGGCATGGACTATGAGAATACGAAGAACACATTGATATTCTAGTAACAGACATGAAAAAATGGGGGGCGGGGATATTGATGTTGCTGTAACAAACAGCCTTGAAAGAATTTGAGGCTGTTTGTATTTCTGTTGTTTCTTCCATTATGTCAAAATTGCTTTTCTTAAGAATATTCAATTTTGACATTTCAGGTTGAGGGGAAGTAATCCGGGTAAACTGTGGAACAAGTGAACAAGAGTTAACTTCCGTGATAATTCAGACTTCATAATGTTAGATCCATGTTTATTACATTCTTGATGCTTTTTTGTGTGTGTTGGGCATTGTTTCAATATGTTTATGTGTGTTTCTAGGAACATTTGTTTGTTTGTTTTTTTACATTGTTGTCAGTAACCATACCTTTGCCTCTTAGAGAGAATGCCTTGTGATGCTATTGCATACACTGGAAGAGCAGAGGACCTGAGAGCACAAGGTAGACCAAGAACAAGATAACATCAGATACATACTACAGTAGTATCAAGCGTTGGAGGTTTTGAACAACGGATCAACATCATGGCACACGGGTAGTAACCCATAAGTGCTCTGTTTTTCTTCTAACTCGAGTCTGAAGATGCTCAGCACAGTGCACAGGCTCTGTAGCACCATTGAGGGTCTTAAAATACTTTAGGGTAGATTTGTAACTCCAAACTTTGCCCGGGCAGTGCCGTTAGGCTACTCTTTTTCAATTTCCAACTGCCAAGAAATTTTTTTACATGTGCAACAAAGCACACGGGCGTCCGATCTCACTACCCAGAGACCAGGGGCAAATTACTAGAAGTCCAAGTTTATGTGAAAAAATGCCAGCCCTTACCGGGGATTAAACCCAGGACCTCCAGCACCCGAGGCGGACACAGCGCCCCGAGACCACGCAGCCACCTAGTAGTATCAAGCATCTGTGGTCAAGGCAGTCAGAAGTGCACAAAAGTATCTTCCTGAACACCAGAAGAAGTAAACAAGGAAAAAGAACAAGAAGAACCATACTGTTATGGGGTGTCTAAGGGTTGTCACAGAGGCTGTTGGTTGGTTTTCTTTCTGTCACAGAGGCTGTTGGTTGGTTTTCTTTCTGTCACAGAGGCTGTTGGTTGGTTTTCTTTCTGTCACACAGCTTTTTTTTTTTTGCATTCACCGTTCTGGTTCTTTGCCCACTTCTGGACTTTAGTCTTGTTCCATTTCTGAGTTTGTCATGCACATCTATTTTACAAATCTGGCTTATTTGTAAGTAGACTGTTGGTTCCCCTCCTCACAGGCAGATGCACTTAAAAGAAAACACCTCTAATTAGTCGACTTTTACGACATGCTTGTTTGGGGGGGGGGGGGGGTTGTGGGTCAATTTTTTTCCCCCTCAAAACGGCGCCCCAGAACCCACTTGGGATATCGTAGCACAGTGTCTAGATGCCAGCTAGCTGGCTTAAAGGTCATGGGTTCAAATTCGCATTGGGGTGAACATTTATAATTATCCGGGCACTCTCTCAATCCGGTCCCCATACAGAACTGCAGATTACACCTGGCTGGTGCAGTCATGGGAGCACCTCAGTTATAACTTCGCTAGCGATGAATCATTAGAGAAACAAGATTATTATGGCCTGGAGAGAATGAGGCACCTGGGTGTAACCAGAGGGTCTGGGTGGCTCACTACACTCAGAGGAAAGGCAAGACGGACATATAACTAGATCATGACCGGTACCATCAGTTTTGGAACTCTACGCTGGCTGCTGAAGATGGAGACAGAGCAGACATGGTAATGTCCCAAGTTCTGTGATGTCAATTCTCAACTCAACTGATAGAGTAGAGAGGGGTATCTGGAATCTGCATTGTTGTTATGCAAACCAGACTGAAGTTCGTTAATTTTAGTGTATAGTACAGTGTTTTTCCACCAGTGGACCGAGGGCCACCGAAAAGGTGGGCCGCTGCCATTTTTTTCAATAACAATATAACAGGGTAGGATAGTGTGTCTTTCTAGGAATGCAGTAGGTAGGATTAATACATCAAGGATAAGAATTTTTTTTTTAATATGGCCACAGCTAAAACTTGTAATTTTGTGACATTGGATTTAACAAATATTTTTATTAACGTTTTTGGTTAACTGTCATGTGTGCCAAGACACTATTGCCCCTGTTTTGGTGGTGCGCAGGAGGAAAACTGGTATAGTAAACCTTTAGGTGTTCGGACGGAGGGGACAAATGGATTAATCAAACCCAGTTTCAACGTAGCTTCCAGGAAATCTGCTGGGAAGTAAAGGTGCGCAAAGTGACCAATATTTTATTGTGGTCTATAAAATACGAGACTGGCACCACATGTCCTTAACCTCAGGTATGTGTGGAGCAGGTGGATCCTTTCTGTTTCAAATGTTTATTTTGCTTAATTAATTGATGTGACGTTAATTTCACTTTTAGGGTTATCTTCCATTTGTTCGTGTTTCCTCTTGTACCCTTGAGTGTAGGGCACGTAACAGTCTTCCCTCTTCTGTCATGGGGGAGAGGGGGGGGGGTGTCTAGAAGCTACTTACACTCTTCTATCCTGGGCTGTAGAAGCACCTTACACACTTTCCTCTTCTATCCTGGGCTGTAGAAGCACCTTACACACTTTCCTCTTCTATCCTGGGCTGTAGAAGCACCTTACACACTTTCCTCTTCTATCCTGGGCTGTAGAAGCACCTTACACACTTTCCTCTTCTACCCTGGGCTGAAAAAGCACCTTACACACTTTCCTCTTCTATCCTGGGCTGTAGAAGCACCTTTCACACTTTCCTCTTCTATCCTGGGCTGTAGAAGCACCTTACACACTTTCCTCTTCTACCCTGGGCTGTAGAAGCACCTTACACACTTTCCTCTTCTATCCTGGGCTGTAGAAGCACCTTTCACACTTTCCTCTTCTATCCTGGGCTGTAGAAGCACCTTACACACTTTCCTCTTCTATCCTGGGCTGTAGAAGCACCTTACACACTTTCCTCTTCTACCCTGGGCTGAAAAAGCACCTTACACTCTTTCCTCTTCTATCCTGGGCTGTAGAAGCACCTTACACACTTTCCTCTTCTATCCTGGGCTGTAGAAGCACCTTACACACTTTCCTCTTCTATCCTGGGCTGTAGAAGCACCTTACACACTTTCCTCTTCTATCCTGGGCTGTAGAAGCACCTTTCACACTTTCCTCTTCTATCCTGGGCTGTAGAAGCACCTTACACACTTTCCTCTTCTATCCTGGGCTGTAGAAGCACCCTACACACTTTCCTCTTCTATCCTGAGCTGTAGAAACACCTTACACTCTTTCCTCTTCTATCCTGAGCTGTAGAAGCACCTTACACACTTTCCTCTTCTATCCTGGGCTGTAGAAGCACCTTACACACTTTCCTCTTCTATCCTGGGCTGTAGACGCACCTTACACACTTTTCTCTTCTATCCTGAGCTGTAGAAACACCTTACACTCTTTCCTCTTCTATCCTGAGCTGTAGAAACACCTTACACACTTTCCTCTTCTATCCTGGGGGGAAGGGGGGGGGGGGGGGATAGAAGTGTAAAAGTTGTCTACCATGGGAATCTAACGGTGCCTTGCAGTCTTGTTTAGTTTTTCTTTTAACTCTTTTTTTTTTGCTTAGTCTTTTACCCTGAAAAGCAGCTACACCTCACAGTATTGGATATCATGGCTTATTGGTAGACATTGTCAAGATTTGCCAGTCCAAGTCCAAACAAGTACTACTTGTATGATTAAACCCTTAACTTCCAGTCAGATGTGTGTGTGTATCCAACTCCTGCACCATGAGTGCCTATCTTATGTTTTTAGTTTCTGGTTGTGAGAGAGTGTGATGGTGTGTGTGTGTTGCTATATGTTATATTTCAGTGTATTGTGAGTGATTGACCAATGTTTGCGGAACTGGTTTTTGTGTGTTTTGCAGTGAGTGTGTGTCAACACTAGATAATTTGTACATATATTATTCAAAGAACTCAGTTTAACAATGCAAGTTTCACATTGTGATATTCTTGGTTGTGGATTTATTTTCTTTCTTTATCTTGCCATAATTTTCTTTCAATATATATATATATATATACTAGCTGTACCCGGCCACGCGTTGCTGTGGCATAGTTTGGCTAAATGGAAATGAAAGAAAATAGAAATCGCACGTGTTTAATACAATCATTGTCTGCTCAGATAAGAGATAGTCTTTGATTCCCCCCCCCCCCCCCCCCCCCCCACCACCACCACCACCACAACTAAATCCACCTACTACTCTCTCCCTCATCAAAGGTTTTTGGAAAAGAAAGACAATGGAAATCGCTCGTGTCTGATATAGTTAATGCTATGTATTTCTGTATTTTCTTTCTTCATTTCTCTTTCTGTCTTATCTACCTTAGTTCAACCTTTGTGTGTGAGCACGTGCACTCCTTCCATTCTTTATTGCTTTGTCTTTGCATTCTCTGGTGGAAAATTCTGGTTTTTCTCCACTTTTGGGCTTGTTTTGTTCCAGAACTTGAGTTTTGCATGTGCAACCATTTGAATATCTGGCTTACTTATTTGCAGACTTTGTTCCTGACCTCTTAGGCATATGCACTTCGTCTTCAAATGAAACACTCCTCATTAGTAGTAGGGGGCCGCAGTAGCGCAGTCGATAAGAGGCTCGTTTTCAAATCCAGCTGCGACTTGCTGTAGCCCACGGTCGGTGATCGAAACCGGGCGGCTCCCGGGGTTCACCCAGCCTCTAGGAAATGGGGTAAATGGAGGAATGTCCCTGTAGCTACAGAGTTACGTGCGAACGGCGACACAGGCGGACAATTCTTATCAACTGTCCGTACTGGTGGCAGAGCACTTAAGGTTTATAACGGTGTGCAATGACACTGGTTCACATCTCCAGACTTTACCTTACCTTTACTCCTCATTAGTCAACTTTTTACCTGATGTTTTTTAGTGAGGCAGTGGGTATGTTCTTTTCTACCCCCAAAAAAGGGGTCGTGGAACCCATAAGGATATCCTTTCTGTTTCTAAGACACCATTTTCTTAATGAATATAAATATTTATTTTTTTTGGCATATATTTTCTTTCTGTCTTCCTGTCGTATTTGCTTGCACACACTCTCTCTCTCTCCCTTTCTCCCACTCTCTCTGTTTCCCTTTCTCTGCCTCCCTTTCTCTCCCTCTCTGTTTCTTTTAAATAATCATGATTTGGAGAAAATGGAGAGTGGCAAGATCATCTGGTACACACACAAC